GATGCTAAATTAAGGACACTTGAAATCAAGGACAATATTTATTCATGTGAAATTCAACTAATCCATTATGATGTGCTAGTCACTTTGGAAAGTGAATTAACTTAGAAATTTCTAGGACATATTACTTTAAAAGAACTATGCTTTTCTGAGTATCATTTAAAGCATTCAAATCAGTATTATAATAATAAATCTAATTATAGTGGTACTTGAAACAATATAAAATAGGAAATGCAATTACTTCAACCTCTCATGTACATAAACAAATCTTCAGAATATATTTCTACAACAGTGTAAGTTTTTTGTTTCATATTCTATTTTATTTTTTTGGAGAGGTTTTTGCTATAGGGTGCGTGTCAGAAAGACAGAGAGAGACAGAGAGACAGAAAACAAGAAATCATCCCCTAGGGGAGATGGCCATGCCACAATCCCTTCTCCTCCATCCTCCTCTTGGGATCTTGGGATCTTGGGCACACACGCACGCTTGCCCAGTGTGAGTTTAATTCACCGGGTCTGGGACTCAAACCACAGTCAACTACATGGGAGTCCAGCAGCATAGCCATTACGCCATCTGCTGGTCCCTATTCTATTTTTTTAAGGCCTTTGCCATGGGGCATGTGCACTCACCAAAGAAAAATTTTTTGGGAGGATTAAGTCAACTACAGGGGAGTCCAGCAGCATAGCCATTACGCCATCTGCTGGTCCCTATTCTATTTTTTTAAGGCCTTTGCCATGGGGCATGTGCACTCACCAAAGAAAAATTTTTTGGGAGTATTATAGAGAAGATGAGAGAAAGTCCATTTTCTGAGATTTTAATCATTTTAAACATAAGGGACAATCTACTTAGCTTATACATATGGTACCTCTTGGTCCCTAACACATGGGGATCATAAAGAAGAGGAATTATTTTGTATGACTTAGGAGGAGTGAGTTTTGACTTGTCCTTGATAAGTGAAAAGGTTTTGGAAAAAAAGTAATTTTCATTATAGGAGATAGAATGAGAAAAACTGGCACCAGCAAGAATTGCATTTTTTTATGATTATGACTCCAACCTTACTTGGAAATGATAGATTCCTTTAGATTAAATAAAGTATCAGAGGAAACTTGACTATTAGTGTTTCCTTTAGCTTTAGCTTTGACATCAAATTGATGGTCCAAGTCTGTGATATTACTTCTAAATTTAGAGGAAAAATTTTTAAAAGTGACCTTGCTTTACACTTATTTCAATGAGGAAATTATTTTTCAGATTATTTTGGCCATAGATACACTATTGAATTGAATGAGAAGCACTATAAGTGTTTTTTTTTTTTTCTTTCACCAAGTTTGTCTTTGACATAAATCCCTGAAGTGTCATTCATTAGTAATATCCCCATAGGCTCTCGCTGGAGCATATGTACATCAACTAGCTCATAGGCTCTTCTTCAAGAAATGTAGTAAAATATAATAATGCTTCTTCAGCTTACTGTACTATTAGGTCACTTAAAGCAAAAAAAAGAAAAAAAAAGTTTAAATTTTCTTCCAAGGAAACAGCTTTTGTGCTACGTAAACCAATAATTTAAACAATTTATGAAAATGTGGTAAGAGGTGGTTTTTATGTGTTGATGGATTTTATGAAATTAGGAAAAGAACATAATTTTTTGCATCCTCCCTTAATATCTCAATGCCTTGTGCTATATATGCATGTCAGAAAAAGACTGAATATTGAATGAATAAATAAATGAGTGACAAGGTTATAGGAATAGCTTAGATCACAGAGTTTTCATACTGGACACAGAGTAGGCTAAAATAATTTTTAAAATTATTTGTCAAATATTTAGTTTCTGTCTTACTATATTCTGGTGAAGAAATATGTTTCTAGTCTGAAAAGTCTTTTATGTCTCTAAATTGGTCCTCAGAACCAAGATCCCATAACTTCTTGTTTTCAGCAAATTCTTAGTAACTTTTGGGTCATGAAATTCTTTCAGAATACGATATAAAATATGTAGATTTTTTTTCTTGAAACAGAAGGGGGAGAGCAATGATAGGCACATATCTATACACAATTTTATTAATATTTTGAAGCTCATTAATTGATGCTAAATTAAGGACACTTGAAATCAAGGACAATATTTATTCATGTGAAATTCAACTAATCCATTATGATGTGCTAGTCACTTTGGAAAGTGAATTAACTTAGAAATTTCTAGGACATATTACTTTAAAAGAACTATGCTTTTCTGAGTATCATTTAAAGCATTCAAATCAGTATTATAATAATAAATCTAATTATAGTGGTACTTGAAACAATATAAAATAGGAAATGCAATTACTTAGGAGCCAATAAATCAATAATTGGTCTCCCACAATCCACTGAAGTGCACAGCATATGTAAATGGCTGTATTCACAACAAGGGAGAATTAAAACAAAGCAAAACAAAAGCAGTGAGATGTGTTAGATTTGGTCTGAATTCATAAGTAACTTCTCATTTACATAAACAAATCTTCAGAATATATTTCTACAACAGTGTAAGTTTTTTGTTTCATATTCTATTTTATTTTTTTGGAGAGGTTTTTGCTATAGGGTGCGTGTCAGAAAGACAGAGAGAGACAGAGAGACAGAAAACAAGAAATCATCCCCTAGGGGAGATGGCCATGCCACAATCCCTTCTCCTCCATCCTCCTCTTGGGATCTTGGGATCTTGGGCACACACGCACGCTTGCCCAGTGTGAGTTTAATTCACCGGGTCTGGGACTCAAACCACAGTCAACTACATGGGAGTCCAGCAGCATAGCCATTACGCCATCTGCTGGTCCCTATTCTATTTTTTTAAGGCCTTTGCCATGGGGCATGTGCACTCACCAAAGAAAAATTTTTTGGGAGGATTATAGAGAAGATGAGAGAAAGTCCATTTTCTGAGATTTTAATCATTTTAAACATAAGGGACAATCTACTTAGCTTATACATAAGACTTAATTTTGGATTATTATGTACTTACCATACCACCCAGATTTCTTCTTTAGAAAGTTAAGTCCACAAGACAAGATGTCTAAATAAAAGAAAAAAAAAATCCATCTTTCTACATAATGGTGAGTAGATATTTATCCATAGATTCATCCATTCACTAGTGTCCACTAAATTCCTCCTGTATATAAGACAATATTCCAAGCATTGCAGCAAGATAAGGCATGTACATGAAGTACAGTAATGTAGTGTAGTTTGTGGTAAAAACATTTAAAATATTTTATGGGAGTTCAGAGGCAGGAGAGAACAGAGAAAGTTAGGAGAAGGAGAATGTCCTGGTCTGAGCTATCTTTAATGAAGCTTAAATTGGTTGGTGTAAGGTGGTTTTAAGAATATAGAGCCTGGAGACAGAGACTCCATTAAACATAAAATGTTATGATATTAATATAATGTGCACTGTTATGATCATTATAACATATAATTGTTTATATGAGAAGAGTTTAAAACTCACTATGAGGCTGTCTGCGGCTGTGATAAGGAAATTAGATTACAGAAAAAAAATTTGGCAAATGTAATAGAAGCAGTTTCTAATGAGGACTGGATATTAAATAATACAAAAGAATAAACGACAACTCAGGGTATTTAGTGGAATATGCCCATATTTAGCACAAACAGGAAAGACATGAGAAAAGGCAGACATGAGAAGTACGGTGAAAATGATGAATGCTGAAACCTAGGTTGGTAAGAACTGTTAAACATACACTTCTGTCAAAAGGCTCACCCCAATCACAAGAGTTGTGTTAACATTAAACTAATGAGGCTCATGACTCATTTTACACCCCAGAGGAGTTAAGCTTTGCAAAGATTCTGTCTTCTGTGTCCTAGAATAAATTTGCTGTTAAAGTGAATAGTTAGACAAGTAACCGTAATGGGAAATGGATTAGTTCAAAATTGCTTTTCAGTACAGAGAGGCAAAAACTCTTTCTCCATATCTCTCTTAGAATGCTAAATTTCCAATTCAAAAATTTGGATTGAGAATATTTTTATGCATATACCAGTGTATGATATGTAAGAGAATTGTATCATCCTAGTATATTTTCATTGTATACATAAAATATAATCTCTGATTTACGATGGTTCAACTTAACCAACCATATTATGATCTTAGAGTTATAAAAGTATACGCATTCAGTAGAAACCATATTTTGGATTGTGAATCTTAATATTTTCCTAGAGTAGTCATATATTACACTTTATTTACTTTGTTATAAAATGAGATTTTAGTTTGATCATTTTTTTTTTCATAACTGTATGCTAGTGTAAATGTTCTGATCATGTTTAAGGTAGGATAGACTAAGCTGTAATGTTTGGTAGCTTAAGTGTATTAAACACATTTTATTTCTTTCTTTTCCTTAGAGAGAGATAGAAGGAAAGAGAGAGAGAGAGAGAGAGATTTTTTTGGTTTTATTTTTTGTTTCAGATTTTTGTCATATGGAATTTGCACTCACCAGAGAGAGAGAAGGGCAGTTAGAGAGAAAGTGAGAAATCACTCCCCAAGGGGATGAGCATGCTACAATCCCTTGTCTTTCACTGGACTCTCGGTATTGGGGAAACACACACACACACACGCCGGGTGTGATTTTCATCCCACCAGGTCTGGGACTTGAACCTCAGAGTCACCCAAGTGGTATCCAGCACCTTACCCACACCACCTTCTATCCCAGGAGATAGGTATTTTTGACAAGGTCTCGCCCTATCACAATCTTCCTGCCCCCCCCCCCCCCCCCCTTCCTATTTAACTGAAACTACAGCCATAGGTTAATATCCCTCTTCTGTTCAGGTTGACCTGGGGACCAAACCAAACCAGATCTATCATGAAGCATTCATCCTCACAAGCTATGGTGCAACATATATGTCACTGTGACTGGGCCTAAAAGCATTTTCAATTTACAATATTTTCCATTTATTTTGAGTTTACTGGGATGTCAACCCATTGTAAATTAAAGAGCATCTACCTAAGCTTAAAGTCAGAGGATAATAGGAATGTGAGAATATTTTTTTTCAGGGGTGAGCGTGAACATAGTCCCCCACTACCACACACATTATGCAGTCGAGTTTCCCGGTTTGGGGAAATCGCAGGGGTCAGCACATTCGGAGTGCAATGGATAAGCCTCGCCCTGGGGAAACCACCTTCATGACCATGGTATCTCCCCTGCCAGGTAAGTATGAGAAAATTTTTAAAGAGAATTTCTATAGCTTTTCTCTTCTCTATCCAGACCCATGTACACAAAATCCATTCTTTACAAAAGTGGAATGCTTTAGACTCATTTATGTTCACCTAGGTTACCCTAAGTTTTGTCTATCTGTGAAGATGTAGCAGTTGTCACAATACAAACTTAATTTTAAAAAAGATTAGTGATAAAAATGAAAAACTTAACTGATGACACTTAACGGTTCTCTGGTAATAGCGATAAGAATTATCACCCAAATTTAAAAACGTCTAAATAAATGGAACAGAAAACCAACGTTGGGATACTAAAGAAGACCTTTGTAAAAGAAGACTGGTTTAAATGAGAAAATCGTCAATGAAATTCAAGGCATATTGATTCAAAAAGCACTAGATAAATAATACCATTTATAATTCATGTGATAAAAGTAGATCTAAAATTCATGTGATAAATGTATATCTAAATTTGGATTATTTTTCTATTTGAATGCCAGATATAACTGACCTTTAGAATAAATTTGCTGGTGTCAGTTTTCCATTAATATTGAATGTTCCAAACCAGCTTTCAAGTAGACTTTCTCAACTTCTGATTTTGGATGCTATTTGCTCTTGATTATATGCCAGTTCTTATTTAACCTTCAGATGAAGCACACACTCAAACAAATATCATTATTAAATTCCAATTTAAAATTAAAATTGTTTTGAGTTAAATTTACTTTCTTTGACAGAACTTTGAAAACAAGTTTTAAAAAAGCCTTCATCATTTTTTGGTATTAACTATTTTAATTTCCATATTTTATCTGCCAGTTATTATAGTCATGTGGTCTTGATAACTTTAAAAATTGTCTCATGTAATAATGAATAAAATTATTTATCTTGAATATGATTTCTGAAAGTTGTTTGTTTTAATTTATTCACTGAACCAGAATTTATTTGCTTAAGTAAACCATCAATTTTTATTAAAATACTGAGCCAGGTTACTCCTTGAAGACATTTCTTATAAAATTGAGGCTGTATTCTGAAGAATGGAGGTGTAATGGGGACTGAAGAATCCTTGGAAAGCCATAAGTACAGAGGAAGAACTTTAGGTTAGCAATCAGAAAAGTGTGAGTTCAATGTCCAACTCTACAACTTATTAAGACTTCAGCATTCAGGAGACATGTATTTATATTAAGGCAAATTTTATGCTAATGTCCTCTTGATGTGCTTCAATAACCAATGGTATCAGGACCAGCAGTTAGCGTAATGGCTATGTTGCTGAACTCCCATGTAGTCGACTGCGGTTCGAGTCTGGGACTCAGTGGCTTAAACTCACGCTGGGCATGTGTGCGTGCATGCCCAAAATCCTGAGAGGAGAGTGAAGGAGAGGGGATTGCGGCATGGCCAT